CTAAGATCTAGACTTATTTCATATAAGGTATTATAGGAAAAAATGTGTCAGTTTTCAAGTTATTCAATCTCTCAGTTGCATCCGTCAATTTTCGAAAAAAATTTAATGATGCAAGTAATTTTTGAAAACAGAATAACTCCGACATTTACTCCGTATAACACCAAAATTTGTAGATTGAAAGCAAAACTCCACACCCCAAAAATAAGCAAAATCGAATATTACGTATTCGAGTTATTTACAAAATTCAAAAAAATTTCACGAACTTTGAGTCATCTGGCTTTATTTGCTTTTGCAAATTTGACATAAACTGGTTGAATTCCATTGCTTTTAAATTATCCATACCAAATTTCATTAATAAATAAAGCAAAATGTCGGAGTTATTCTATTTTCAAAAATGACTTACATCCCTCAACTTGAAAACTGTCACATTTTAGCCTTACCTTATATGAAAATAGTCTAGAATTTGCTGTATAATTAAAAAATGCATAAAATGTTCCATTTGAATTAACAGAGCTGATGATGACTTCCGGTATAACCGGAAGTACGAAGAAGTTGACACTATTTTCATTGAATAGATCACTTTTGATAAAGCCCTCTATTCAAATTTTTCATTTTTCAATTTTGACTACTTTTTGAGATAATCCTACTGGGCCCTTTTCGTGATACACCCTGTATATCCACTGCCCCTCAGCTCCCGATCTTCCCCCACTACTCGATTGCGCACGCGCGCTCGGCCGTTTTTAAGCATATTTTAGTAATTTTTCACCTATTTCACATCATTTTATCGGAAAATTAGAATATACGTTTTGTAATATTATTTTTCCACGTTTATAAAAAATTAATTAATGGTAAATTGGAGTAGGAAATACAGGGTGTCCCAGAATAAGGTGTACAATGGAAGACCACAGATTCGTGGACTCAAAATATGCAGATTTAGGTTAATTCACCTTAATCCGAAATCGCTTCGTTTGGCCGCCAGATGACTCAAAGTTCGTGAAATTTTTTTGAATTTTGTAAATAACTCGAATACGTATTATTCGATTTTGCTTATTTTTCGGGTGTAGAGTTTTGCTTTCAATCTACAAATTTTGGTGTTATACGGAGTGTTTTTTAAAACTTACAACTCCTAGAAAATCGATGTATGGTGTCTGTTCATAATTTTTTCCTCTTTCGGGCAATAATGACAACTATTTTTTATTTGATAGGTGATACCATTTAGAAATTTTTGGGCCTCTTGTAAAATTTTGATTAAATGAGTGGTTTGAGTACAAAAAATATTTTTTAAATGTATACATTATCTTGCCTACTCCAATACTTAACAAAGTGCCAATAGGTTCTGATTTTGTAGATTGACTGTAATTTCAGTTTGTTCTTTAAATCATTGTACCTGCCAATTCTGTTTTACTAGAAACAGAATAATAAATGAACAAGTGTATGGTCAAGAAAATCCACATGCTATAAAAGTGAAACAATATCAGAATGAATTTCGCATCAATGTTTATTCTGGGATCATTGATAGCATTATTATTGGCTCTGTTATTCTACCCAATAGACTGCATGGGGAAATTTATTTAGAATTTTTGCAAAACCCGAGATATTGAAAGATGTGCCAGAATTATCCAGAGCTAACATGTGGTTCATGCATGTTGCCGCTCCACCACATTTCACTGTAAATGTCCGGCAGTATCTGAACCAAAGATTTCCTCGTCGATGGACCGATAGAGGGATAATGTTTCTGTTAACTGGCCTGTACGTTCACCAGACTTAACACCTTGCGACTATTATCTTTGGGACACTCTGAAAACAATAGTGCATGCTTCCACATCTAACACTGAAGAAGAGTTGTGGAGGCATATCCAAAATACCATAAATGTTTTAAAAAAGAACCCTTAAGAATTTTTATAATAAGTTGTACTAAATTTAATAACATCAACTTTGTTACTTTTATCTCCAGCATTTTTTATTCTATTTGATTGTTTTTACGAATCATTTCAATAAAATTAGGCACTTTTAATTCGTCGTATGTGTGTATCCATATCGAAAAATGAAGTAACATAAGGTATATCTAATCGTAGTAAAGACTCATTAATAATTGGCAGGTACAATGACTTAAAGATCAAATTGAAATTACAGTCAATCTACAAAATCAGTGACTACTACCACTTTGTTAAGTATTGTAATATGGGTCGCAAGATAATGTAGACATTTGAAAATTATTGTTTTGTACCCAAACTGCTCATTTAATCAAAATTCTACAAGAGGTCTAAAATCTTCCAAATAGTATCACCTATCAAATAAAAAATAGTTGTCATTATTGTTAGAAAGTGGAAAAAGTTATGAACAGTTATTATCATCATATATCAATTTTGTAGGAGTTTTGAAAAATATTCTATATAACACCAAAATTTGTAGATTGAAAGCAAAAGTCCACACCCCAAAAATAATCAAAATCAATTACTACGTATTCGAGTTAATCGATTAATACGTATTCGAGTTAGTTTCAAAATTCAAAAAAATTTCACGAATTTTGAGGCCATCTAGCGGCTACACAAAGCGATTTCGGATATACGTGAATTAGACCAAATTTGCCTATTTTGAGTCCATGAATCTTCCGTTGTACACTTTATTCTGTATATAAGCATACAGGGTGTCTCACGGCCCATTAGAATTATTTTAGAGCCTACTTCGATTTGGATTTGGTAATTTGGGATACCAGGTTTTCGGGCATGCCCTTCTCAACTAAAATAATGGCGTACAACTTCCGGTTATACCGGAAGTCGCCATCGACTTGAGTATTTTAAATGGAACACTATATATTTTTGCAATTTTTGATTCTACGTCTATTTTAATGTTCATCCAGAATCCTCAACTCGTGCCGCAGAGTATGATTTAGGCATTTCAGGAGCGTCCATTCACAGGATGCTTAGAACTAATGAAATGCATCCATACAAATTTAAGTTACTTTCTGCTCTTCATACGGGTGACGCCGTGCAACGTGTACAATTTCGTGAAACGATGTTAGTGCGATACCAAGAAGATCCACAATTTTTGCAACATATTATATGGACAGACGAGTCAAAATTTACGAGAGAAGGTATTATTAATAGACATAATACTCATTTATGGTCATCTGAAACTTTCAAAATAAATTTAGCGTAAATGTTTTTTGTCTAATTAAAGATAACCAAATTTCTTACAATATCTACGAAGAAAATTTAAATGTCGACAGATATCTCAATATTTTGCAAACGGTTGTGGCAGATTTTCTAGATGACATACCTTTAGACCAACTAAGGAAGTGTTGATATCAATTAGACGGGACTCCACCTCACTGTCACAATCAAATCTATCAACAGCTGACTGAAATGTTTGAAGATAGATGGATGAGACGCCTAGGACCGTGGAATTGGCCAGTAAGGTCTCCCGACCTCACTCCATTAGATTTTTATGTTTGGGAAGTAATAAAGCAAAAAGTTTATTCTACACCCGTTGCTTCAAAAGAGGATTTGATTGCTCGAATACGAAGAGCGTTCCATGAATTGTCTGCAGCTGAAATAGCAAAAGCGGTGACTGATAGTGTTATCTCTAGAATCCACAAGTGTTTAGCTGTTAATGGGGGTCATATTGAACACTTATGATTTTTTAAGTCATTTTTTTATCTTAATGCATTATTTTTATCAACATACATAATTAAAATTGTGTATTACTATGTATGAAGTTGATTTTTTGGAATTTTTCTTAACTTTATTCTGCTCATTGGTGGAAAATTGGGATATGTCTCATTAAAAACTGTAAATGTTCTGCTTAGAAACCCATTTCAACGTCTGTGAATAATTAAAACTGAAATAAATAACTGGTGACAGTTTAGCTGTTTGTTTTGAAGTTTTGCTAAAAGTTCCACAGCTATCCTCGCAAGAAATTATATGATTTTAGGTGAATACACAAAAAATAGTAGATAACTTAAAAACTAGAAGAGATAGGTATAGGGAATCCGTTCGAAAGAGAATAAAATTTTGTATCGGAATATAGAAAAACATACAGGGTGTTCAATTAGAAAAAAAACGACTTATGAATGTTTGAAGTTAACTAAACTCGGCATTAAATTTCTAGCACCCTGTATGCAATTAAGCCTCTTTTGAAAGTATGGATGGGAAGCTTAGGGGTCTAGCTATCCCCCCCCTATAAATATTGTTGCTTTATCTTTTTTACTATAAAATACACATGGTTTGAAGCTAGTCACTGTTTCTCTCCATTTTTTTGAAAAAAATTAAATATCTCGAAAACGGTTAATTTTAGGCATAAGGAAACTTTATAAAAGTTCACCTAAAATAACACGTAGAATCCAAAATTGCAATAATATATAGGGTGCTCCATTTAAAATAAGCAAGTCGATGGCAACTTCCGGTATAACCGGAAGTGGTACGTGGACGCCATTACTTTAGTTGAGAAGGGCATGCCCGAAAACCCGGTTTTCCAAATTTTCAAAATTCAAATCGAAGTAATCTCTGAAATAATTCTAATGGGCCGTCACCGTGAGACACCCTGTATATCTTCAGACTGTCTTCTATTATGATGGCACAGTCCGTTTGCTATTAGTAATTTTGTCACAAACAAAAACTCTGTTGATTGGCCTATTTAATATATGTGTTGTATTAACAACAAATTTAGTGTATTTTTGAAGTATCGGAAACATTTTAAATCACATTTTTCTGACTGGAAAAATACATAAATTATTTTTAATAAATAAATAATTACATGGTAATTTTACTACAAAAAGCAGTGGATTTAAGTTAAATGTTAGTTTCCAATCCATTAACCTTTTTTCGGCCATAACCTGACTCTCGCTAATGATACCGTTTCGCATATTTTTTCCAGGCATGAAAACATCACATCAACTCTAAATTCGCGAACTAGACATGGCAGCACCAGAACCAGAAGGCCAGAATAGCACAGAGAACTCCTTCAAGTCCAAAACTCCAACAGAACCGGATGCTAATTGTAAGAAGTCGCCGAATAAAAACAAGGACGGCAAAGGCAATAAACAGAATAAAGACAACGTGACCAGGGTCGTTGTTGTGGCGTTAACACCAGAAAGGCGAAGAGAAACATGGAACAAAAAGGTGGAGTTCCTCCTTGCCGTGGTAGGCTTCGCTGTGGACCTGGGGAATGTTTGGAGATTTCCCTACATCTGTTATCAAAATGGTGGAGGTGGGTCTTTTTAATGCATTCTTAAATATTATCTAAAAGTTAAGCTGTTATACATATACATAATAAGGTCCGGACTAGGGATAGTTCATCCTTAAAATGATATCGACTTTTTACCAGTATACCAATTATTAAATAGTTTTATCTGTATTACAGGAAATGCAATTTTAAACATTTTTTTTACTCTTACAAATTTTTCTAAAAAATGAGGGTTTTTAAGAAAATCGCGATTTTGTGAAACAGCGTCTTTACTAATTGAATCGGACAAAAAGTAAAGTATTAAGACTAGTAGGCTATGATTTCATGTGTTATTTTTGACGTTTACAAAAAAATATCAAGAAAAAGCATTTTCATTAAATTAGATTCTTTATTTTGTTTTTATTAAAGAAAGAGGAACCTTACAAACAAAACATTAAATATATATCGTTAAATAGCACTATAATAACTGTTGAAAATTTTCTCTAATACATAAATTTACTCTCCGCCGAAAATGTCTACTCTGCGCAATAACTGTGGATCATTTTTTATGGCGTTGCATTTATTATTTATACGATTCCATAAATCTGCTTCAGATACAAACAAATTGTTTGACACCCCCCAAAGAAAGAAATCACATTTATTCAGATCTGGTGATCTGGGTGGCCAATTTTCTGGACAACAATTGTTTCCTCGGCCTATCCATCTATTCGGGATCTGCTGATTCAAGAAGACTCGTACATTAGCACTGGAGCACCATCGTGTATGAACCACATTTGACATCTTAATTGCAAAGGTAAATCCTCGAGTAGCCCAGGGAGAGTAGAAAGTGGTTCCTCTTCGACTCAAACAGGTCTCGTCCATAAAAAAAATCTTCTTATGAAACCTAATATCCTGACGCAAAATGAAATTACAAAAGTTAGTTTTTGGCCCAAATCTTGAGGTAACAATTGTTGAATATTTTGGATAGGATAATGCGATGGAGCATGGCATATGATATATTAAATTGTCTAGATAATCGTCTAGTGCTGACATGAGGATCATATTCAATACTTTTTAAAAGTCGTATCTCGTTTCGTGCGTTTACTGCATGATTAACACGTCCTTCTTCGTTGCTGACTAGAAATGATCCAATCTCTCGAGCCTTCCTCGCAACATTAGCAAAGGTGTCCCGGTGTGGAATCAAACGATCAGGAAATCTTCTTCGGTACTCGTGTACAATTCATCGACAATTATCCTCACAAAACCCCAATGTTAACATGTCAACTTTTTCACGAAATGAAAATTTTGCAGGCATTTTTCAAGATGATGGTATAGTACGTGGTAATCTGCAGTTTTTGTAAACGTCAAAAATGACACATGATATTATATAGACCAGGCAATAAAGAGAAAAATATCTAGATTTTTGCGGCCCGATCCGATTTTAATGCGGTTTTTTGCATTTTGTTCAGAAAGACTGTCGGAAAAAAGTCTCGCCTTTTTTATTATCCGGAAGTGGCGGAAATGCATCGCGGGTGCATAAAGTGCATCTAGAAGTGCATCGCATCCGAGAAACTTGCCAAAGTGCACGAAATACCGCAAAAATTGGTACTCGGGGGTTTTGGGGGGCACAGAATTCGAATATGCATATATCCAGTCCACCCGACCCCCGGGGGGCGACTTCCGGCCGCCTGGAGGGCGCGGGGGGCACGTGGATTGCAAGGTTCTCCGAATGACTGGAAAAATGGATCTCGGGGGTTTTCGCGGGTGCTGATTCCGAATTCGAGGGTGAAAAATATCCCCTGTGCTCGTGGAGG